CAGACTATAATACCAATCCCACAGTAATTATACTAGTTGGGATTGGAATCTTGACGAAATGCATGTTTTATTTATTGGTATATGGATGACTGTATCAGATTATAATACCAATCCCACAGTAATTATACTAGTTGGGATTGGAATCTTAACGAAATGCATGTTTTATTTATTGGTATCTGAATGACTCTATCAGACTATAATACCAATCCCACAGTAATTATACTAGTTGGGATTGGAATCTGAACGAAATGCACGTTTTATTTATTGATATCTGGACGACTGTATCAGACTACTACCAATCCCACAGTAATTACAGTATACTAGTTGGTATTGGAATCTTGACGAAATGCATGTTTTAATTTTTTGTATCTGTATGGCTGTATCAGACTATAATACCAATCTCACAGTAACAGTATACTAGTTGGGATTGGAATATTGACGAAATACATGTTTTATTCATGGTATCTGGATGACTGTAACAGACTATAATACCAATCCCACAGTAATTATACTAGTTGGGATTGGAATCTTGACGAAATGCATGTTTTGTTTATTGGTATCTGGATGACTGTAACTGACTATAATACCAATCCCACAGTAATTATACTAGTTGGGATTGGAATCTTGACGACATGCATGTTTTATTTATTGGTATCTGGATGACTGTATCAGACTATAATACCAATCCCACAGTAATTATACTAGTTGGGATTGGAATCTGAACGAAATGCACGTTTTATTTATTGATATCTGGATGACTGTATCAGACTACTACCAATCCCACAGTAATTACAGTATACTAGTTGGGATTGGAATCTTAACGAAATGCATGTTTTATTCATTGATATCTGTACGACTGTATCTGACTATAATACGAATTCCACAGTAATTATACTAGTTGGGATTGGAATCTTAACGAAATGCATCTTTTATTCATTGGTATCTGGATGACTGTATCAGACTATAATACCAATCCCACAGTAATTATACTAGTTGGTATTGGAATCTTGACGAAATGCATGTTTTAATTTTTTGTATCTGGATGACTGTATCAGACTATAATACCAATCCCACAGTAATTATACTAGTTGGGATTGGAATCTTGACGAAAAGCACGTTTTATTTATTGGTATATGGATGACTGTATCAGATTATAATACCAATCTCACAGTAATTATACTAGTTGGGATTGGAATCTTGACGAAATGCATGTTTTATTTATTGGTATATGGATGACTGTATCAGACTATAATACCAATCCCACAGTAATTATACTAGTTGGGATTGGAATGTGAACGAAATGCATGTTTTATTTATTGATATCTGGATGACTGTATCAGACTACTACCAATCCCACAGTAATTACAGTATACTAGTTGGTATTGGAATCTTGACGAAATGCGTGTTTTAATTTTTTGTATCTGTATGGCTGTATCAGATTATAATACCAATCCCACAGTAATTATACTAGTTGGGATTGGAATCTTGACGAAATACATGTTTTATTCATTGGCATCTGGATGACTGTAACAGACTATAATACCAATCCCACAGTAATTATACTAGTTGGAATTGGAATCTTGAC